TGCCTTGGCACCCCGGATGTGCCGCTAACTGGGAGCCGCCAGAGGTAAGTCTGCACCCCAATCCCCAGCCCTGAGCCCCCCCCAAACCTGGAACCCCTTCTTGCACCCCAAGACCCCCAGCCCAGAGCCCTGACCCCCTCCTGCATCCCAACCCCCTGCCCCAGCCCTGAGTGCCCCCCAAAAAACCCAGAGCCCCTCCTGCACCCCAAACCCCTCATCCCCAGCTCCCTTGAGTTGTGGGCATCAACAATTTTCTTAAATTGGGTCCCCAGAAAAAAAGTTTGAAAACCACTGATCTAAAGTACCCTCAGATAGTGATTTCCTTTAAAATTGAATGAGACAAAATTTATCCATTTATCTAGTATCCTCTGGAAAGACAAATTGCTGTGGATCGGGACTCTAGGGTTTAAGCAAACCAAGAGAGCAGAAGGTAAATAATCCAGAACTAATCAAATTTTTTGTGGGGTGGAACTTAAAAATTAAAAGATAGGAATGAGTGGGTTGAAGAGAAGTTGGATCCAAAATTGCAGTGTAACTGAAGTTCTCCTTTGATAATTGCTTCTGTAGATTCCCCTGATTGGTTGAGAATCAAAGCCATTTGAGGTTCTGCAGAACTACCCAGTGCCTTTTTTTACTTTCTCGGAACTTTAAGATGTCCATTTGTATTTCACATGCAGGAAAGTGTGGGTAATCATATCAATGATAAATGAGCCATGCCAGGGTGTGTGGCATTAGGTTATTGGTGATTTTGTGGGGTGGTTGATTATAATATGGGGTGTGCACCATACCTTGTTAATGCACATCTTGTGGGTTATATCCATATGAACAACAAAATAACCTATGATAGGGAGGGAGTTCTGAAAGGTAGAATCAGTAAAGTGTGACACTCATTAGATAGGGACCAGTTGTGATAGAGTAAAAGAAACTGAAAAAAAGAACCATAGAGGGATTTTTGTGAGTACTGAGCCAGATTTGAAGATTCCAGGGAAGTGTGGTGAGTTCTTCAGAATGCTAAGATTGTAATGATTGAAAGTAAGCATCTAAAAATTGCCTAAGAAACTGTCACTTCAGAATACTTTCCTATAATTTTGCAAACTCGATCACTAGCTCTGCATGATGTTGCAGAAGCAAGGGGAACAGGTTTGCTAAAGTAAGCATGGTAATAGAACCTTATTAGCCTTAGAAATCACATGACTAGGGCTGTTAATTCTGTACCATTACAAGACAACTGTTTTTGCCAAACACTAAATATTTTTCAGATTATGATCCACCTTGCTAAACTCTCACTAATGACTGGGAAATTGGTTCCTAGTTACAAATGAGATTTTAAAAAAATCAAGGATACCATTTGAAAAAAAGCCTTATTTTGATAGGTATGACGCTAACCAGTATGTGAGCAGTGGTATCGCTTCTCGGCCTTTTGGCTAAGATCAAGTGTAACTTAAACAATAATGAAGCTTTACTACAAGAGTTGCCCGCTCTCAACATTTTTGAGCATTTCATGGTTTAGCTTATTTTTAGTAACTGCTTGTGATCTCATGAACAACTTCTCTTAAATTCAGGAAATCTCTGTTATTTCCACATGCACAATTCAGTATTGATAAACAGGCAGCTGTTTGTAGCCCGATCTAATGTCTCTGGGTAGCAGTTCTCACCTTTTACCACCAGAAGCCACCCCTCCCAGACAGGTCTGCTCCTGCTCCGCAAGAGGCGCAGAGCTTAAGTCGATGTAGTTAGGTCAACGCCGTGTCAGGGTAGATGCTGTGTTGCTTACATTAGACTGTTCCAGCTGACAGCCTGGACTCCAGCCACACCAGGGCTGAAAGCCCAAAGCCACGATAGGGCTCTGGCTGTCAGCTCCAGGCGGCGGGGCTGTCAGTGCCCCACATTGATAGTTAAATCAGTGCAAGCACTCCTGGTGAGGATGCACCCCGCCAACACAAGGAGTTAGCATGGACATGCAAAACCGATTTAATTACTGTGGTGGCTATACATCAACGTAACTTAAATCGAGTTCATTTTGTAGCGTAGACTTGTCTGAGAAGCAGCAGGAACCATTCTCAAGTAGTGGTAGCAACGGCTCCGACCTGTTTCTTGCCCCCATGATTCTTAACATTGCAATGAGGGAGAATTGAAAGAAAATGTGGGCTTGATCATGCTTCCATTTAAGTCAGTGGCACATCCCTGCATTGATTTACATGGAACAGGATTGGGCTCTTAGTGATTAAATGAAATTTTTGAGGAGTGGGGAGTGCCAACCAACCTAGACTGTCTTTCAGAAATATAAACTTGCTGGAGCTACTGAAAGGACTGTAGCATCTGATTTTCAGTGAAGATTATAGTTTTTTTGAGCATCAAGTTTAAACTTCTACAACACAAATAAGATCTTCATCCAATTATTTAATTCTTCCTTTGTGTCCTGTGCAATTACTGGCATCAAAATACTGTCTCAAAGTGTTTTTAGTTTCAGGACTGTATTACATTTGGCAAAATAAGAAATATATTAAATATGATAACTTGGAGCTTTCTTTTTCTGTAATTTCTTGATTTCTTCTTATAAATCTAGTGCTATATTCAGCAAGAACAAAGCCAGGTGGTTTCAAAGGATTTTTCTGTGATATTCCACCCTTTATTATATGATCATATCACTTTTTCTCGTATAAATTTTGTGTGCGTGGGTATTGTTCACTGTGCTAAAAGATTGCTCACTTTTCTTGTGCCTAAATACTGTAGGAGGTTATCCTGGTAGAGAGCCATCCCACATAGTTAACTCTGCACTTCCCTGTTCAGAATCCCCTTCACTTGAAAGATAGCATTTTTTATTTTTTACCTTAGTTTAATTTGATTTGTGTGATTTTTGAACTAATTGATCATACAGTTGGATGTTCATTGCAAACTCATTTAAAGATGTGTACTATTGTCTTTAAAAAAGGATAACTAAAGGGCATTTTATTAAAATTAGAGTTTTTAGTACATCTTTACGTTTCTGAATAATCATAACAAGCAATGTTTTAAACATTCTGCTTGACTTTTTAAAATATAACTGCTGTATTTACTTGGACTTGCCAAAATTGGCAGTATATTTTACTACATGTTTCCACTGGTATTGGAATGCCATTTTGATATGTAGACTTAATGCAGTTTTGACATTAAAATGACAGAATCATACAGCATTTTTCTCCTGATAAATTTTGACCAAGCATGAATACTGACAAGTTATTGAAGCAGTAAGCATAACCATAGACAAGAGGTAATACGGTTTATGGCAGTTAGTGCCAGACTGACTATTGGAAACTTTAGCTAGGTATTATCTCTCTGGTATCTAAGCAAACCCAAAATTACAAATCATCATCTCGGCCACTGACTCAGTATGCTGTTTTAGCCAAAGCATTTAATGTCTCTGTTTTGATTTCCCAGTTTATAAAATAGAGATAATAGTATCCTCATGTAGGTGGTGTGAGTAATTAATAGTGTTATTGGATGAAAGTGCAGGAAACAAATCATGCTGGTGCATGGGGTGTTTGTCAAATAAAAGTTCCTAGCTTTTGTTTTGTAAACCCCATTTCTTTTCAGGGTTGTAATAAGTACTGATTTCTTGGCAATAATTATTTTACTAATTTATTTATATTTTTAAAGTAGCCTACCTAAAGTCTTAGGCGTTTTGTATATTCACTGTACATATATTACAAATCAAAATAGAGCAATAGCAGTTATTAGATTCTACCCTTCAAATAATCACTGCACCTTCTGAGACTGTCCTTCTCTCACTGGACTGTTAATACCTGCCTCTTGTTAGTTAATACTTACCTGTACACTGCTTCATGCATGCACCTGCTGCAAAGGTTGGGGAAACAGATGAGTCTTACAGCATTCTCTGAAGATTGGAAGAATCTTGATAGACTCTTCACACTCATTTCTATAGTACATTTGATTTGGCTACCAGACCTTTTGTTAGTACATCTTTTCTTAGGGCAGGTCCACACTGGGCAGGGGATCGATCTAGGAAACGCAACTTCAGCTACGAGAATAGCGTAGCTGAAGTCGACGTTTCCTAGATCGAACTAAATTACTTACTGCGGGTCCACGCGGCGCAGGCAGGCTCCCCCGTCGACAGCGCTTCCTCCTCTCGGCGAGCAGGAGTTCCGCAGTGGACGGGGGAGCGCTTCTGGGATCGATCTATCGCGTCCAGATGAGACGCGATAAATCGATCCCAGAAGATTGATCTCTACCCGCCGAATTGGGCGGGTAGTGTGGACCAGCCCTTAGTTTTTTCTAGATACAGTGGCCTACCTATCTAATCTCAACATTTGGAGGGGGGACTCCCTCATCAGAAATTAGTTTCAAAAGTCTCTCCCTGTTGAGTTTAGGGATTTTTGCATTGACTTTTAATTAAAACATTTTAAAAGTCACTCTCCTTCATTCAACTGTTCAGTCAACAGGCCTACATGGGGTGGTATATTTTTGGCGAAGTAATTAGTCTTACAACTCCAGTAGCATAAAAGGAATCCTGTACTTTCCCCTGAAAATGCCATGCAAGATGGAATAGTTCAATAATAGCTTTCACAGAAGAAGTAGTTCTTTTTTCAGTGCGTGAGTTGTCAAATATGCTACCCAAAGAACTATTGTAGTACTTCCATATCATGCAAAATCTGATTATTTAAGATCTCTTTACTGTTTTGAAATGAAGAGATTGTCTGCCAGTGCCAAAAGGTTTACCTTTATCAGATGGGCCCCCATTTTGTTGAATGTTTCAGCCATAAGCACTTCAATGTGTAGTGATACTTAAATAATGAGTGCCATAAAAAAGTCTATGTATAAAATAAATTAGTGCTTCATGTAAACCTGTAGACCTCTCCAGGATTATTCAAAGCTTAGTTTTAAGACTTTTCTGGTATTTTGAAATTGAATGAAATATTTAGGTATCAGTCTAACATGTTTAGCTGTTGAACTAATGGACTTATTACTCCATGGGTAATACTTACTGTCCTTTTCCAATATAGCCAGCAGCCAGCTTCGGGTGTAGCCTATTCCCATCCAACTACAGTTGCTAGCTACACTGTCCATCAGGCTCCAGTAGCTGCACACACGGTTACTGCTGCATATGCCCCAGCAGCAGCTACAGTTGCAGTAGCCAGGCCTGCACCAGTAGCTGTTGCAGCTGCTGCCACAGCTGCTGCCTATGGAGGTTATCCTACGGCACACACGGCGACAGATTACGGTTATACCCAAAGACAACAGGAAGCCCCACCACCACCTCCTCCGGTCACTACACAAAACTACCAGGTAAGTGCCACTTTGAATCCATCTCGGGTTGGTAGTGATCAAAATTTATCTGATGGATGTTTGGTGATCTGTGTGAAATTAGTAGAGAGAGCAGATTTCAGTCTCCAGAACTATTAATCTGGCACTTTTCTCAAGCCCATATTCACTCAATTTAAAAATAAATAAACTAAAAGCCGCCATCATCCCTATCTGCTAATTTAGGCTCAAATACTGCAAAGATTCACACATGTGAATAGTCCACTGAAGTCAGTGGGACATGAAATGAAGTCATTGGGGCTCTGTGTGGGCACGTCTGCCCATGTGGCTCTTTTTACAGGGTATGGGTCCAGTTTAATAAATTATTTATTTTGCTATCTCAGCTCCCATTAAAGTCAGTCGGCGCCTCGGAGTCTTCCTGGTTACTCTGAGGCTAGTACCTATATTTACAAGATTTATGTGAGGTAAATATGCAGGCACTAGTCATATTTAATGTGTAATGTAAAGTATTAAAATTATTTTCAGGTATTAGATTGAAGGTATGGACACTACTGTTTTCCTTTATGGGTAAAGCAGAATAAATTGAAAAAGACTGCCCTATTTAAAGGGCCATGTTATAAAATTATCTATTAGGGGTGCCTTCTAGTTTTAAAATACTTATTTTAATTTGATGAAAAGCACATTAGAAGACCTAGGTGGTATTAATGATTATTTAATTGTTCCCTCTAATAAAAAAAAAACAAAAACAAAACCTATAAATAGCCACTTCTGGTTAGAGTCCTGAAAAACAAGCAAGCTCTTTCCAATGGTCTGAAGCAGCAATTAGCTAACATATCCTAATAATTACAGGAGCAGTGCATATGCCTGCTACTAGATGTTGATGCACAGACAGAGAAAAAAGGAGCCTTAAACAAAGAGGGGAAAAAAATACAAGGTTGCCAAAATTGCTAGGGAATGAAATGTTACTTTTTAAGCTTCTTAACAAGTGCTGTAAAGAAAATTCTTTGAACTGCAGAATGGTTGATGAGATATAAAACAGAATGCTTACAAAAGGTACAGTTAATGTATATGTAAATAGGAAAAATGCTACATCAACTTTGTAATACCTAGAAAGTGTTGGTGGGCTTTTTCTTCTTTGTGAAAATACACATTTTGAGCAGGTTTGTGAGTTTTTTCTTAAAATTATATAGAATTTCTGCTCTGATATAAATGTAATAGTGGAACAGTCTGACAGTAGCATCTTTCTGTTCCTTAATGGAAATAACTAAGGGGAAAAATGAGAAAATACTTGTAAATGCAAGAGTTGAATTGCTGCTATTTATTGTGTCTGTTAATGTTCATCAAAACTGTTCAGCACTTGTTGTTCTTAGTCTCTGTAAATTAAGATGAAAGATTTTAAAACTATATAAGGCTTATTTAACTCTAGAATCATATACATATTTAAATGAATTGTTTGACTTAATTCAGTAGACTGTCTCTCCCTATGGATGCCTTTGATTATCCCAGGCCCCAGACATATTTAAGCAGAAACTCAGGTCCTTTCTTTCTGTTTTGCATGCTTTTTAAGGACTCCTACTCATATGTTAGATCCACTGCCCCAGCTGTGGCTTATGACAGTAAGCAGTACTATCAACAACCAACAGCAGCAGCGGCTGCAGTGGCTGCTGCTGCCCAGCCTCAGCCTTCTGTAGCCGAATCGTACTACCAGACAGGTGGGTGGTGTGCATGAAATTCCTTTTTTGGTCAGGGCCAAACAGTGTGCTGCTTTGTTTCTTAAAAATGTTTCTTTGGATACCTCAGACAAATTGATTTTTATTCTTAGCTTTATAATGTAACCCTTATAAATATAAATGTTTGGACAAAAATCCTGCTGTTGCCCAACACTTAATAAGAAGACATTGCCTCAAATAGCTTTCTTGCCTAAAAATAAACACACCTTTTTCTATGTAAATTGAATTTAACAATTTTTTTATGTTTTAAAATATGTTGTGCCTACGAAGTTCAAATACACTTTGGCTGGCCAGGAAGAGACCTGGACAAGAAAAGGATCTTTGAACACAGTTTTGTTATATTAGATAGTACACGTCAGTATTAACCCATTTTGGCCATCACACAGTTTAAATCCTGTTTAAACAGGTTTTAAAGCTTTATAATGTTGGTGTGGATGGGAAATTAAAGGCAAGCTTTAGCTATAGGGTGGGAGAAGGTTTGCTTAAAGAAAGCAATAGGGTGAGCAAGTTGCTTAAGAACATGACACAAGTCTGTGGGGAGAGAGACCAGTTACTGTGTATGTGGTTTTAAAAAAATGCCATTTGTACAGTATATGGTTGCAGTTTAAAAAAAATGGTATTAGGAGGGGCTTTATATCTAATAACAAAGAGAGGGCACAGTTTGAGACCTACATTCAGAGTTCATACTTAATGCCTCTCACTCTCCAGCAAGGCACTCTTCTCTGCTCAAGAGAGGAATACAGTGTGAACTTAAGTGTCGTTAACTCTAGGGCCCTACCAATTTCACAACCATGAAAAACATGTCACGGACAGTGAAATAAGACCTTCCCTGTAAACCTGATCTCCCTGAAATCTACTAGTTCAGCAGGCCTGGGGAGGGACAGGACTTGTCCTTCCCCAGTATAGTGGTTATGGGAGGAGATCAGACCTACCTCGCAGGCAGTGCAGAAGTGAGGGTAAAATACCCTCATTTCTGCGCTGCAGCAGCCCCAGGGTTTCTGCCCTGTGGCTCCTGCTGGCGTTCGGGGTGCCCAGATGGGGGGCTGCCGCCCCCTTCGGCTCCTGCAGGGGTTTGGGGTTCCCAGGCTCCAGGTTTTTGCCCTCCCACCCCCCGCAGCTCCTACAGGGGATGGGGGTGCCTGGGCTCCAGCCGGGGCTTGGGGATGCCGCCCCTTGCGGCTCCTGCCCGGGCTCAGGGCTTTCTCCCCTGGCTCCATCTGGGGCTCGGGGTGCCTGGGTTCGGGCCTTTTCTCCCCTCCTTCCCTCTTCTTCCCCCGCCCCATTGTTACTGCCAGAGCTCAGGCACTCATTTTTCAACTTGGCATGGACCCATGCATTAATCTGCCACTGACTGTGACTAGTAGCTGGGAGCCCCTAGTAGATCGGACCTACCATCACCTCCAGCTTCAGGAAACTCCACAACTGCTGCCTTCAGAGCCCAGCTCAGAAGGCAGCACAGAAGTGAGTATGGCAATCCTGTGACCACCTTATAACAGCTCTGGGATCCCCCCTGCCCCACAGTCCCCTTTTGGGTCAGGATCTCCATGGTTACAACACTGAAATTTCAGATGTAAACATCTGAAATTGTGAAACTGACTAATTTAAAAACCCTCTAGCCCTGAAATTGACCAAAATGGAGTGTGAATTTGGTAGATCCCTAACTATATCTCCCTAGTTTACTGGAACTCTGAAAGGAGTCAGTTCAGTCTTCATGTCCAGAAAGTAGTTGTAACCTGAGATCTACATACAGAAGAAAAACTTTCAGATTTAACTCTGAATGTTTGTTGCCATGCCATGCCAAGGCTTTCAAGATTCTGCAAGGTTCCCATGACCTGGGAGGCCTATATGGAGTCAATGGGAAGTAGTACAACTGGGAAATTCCAGATCACTGCTGTATGGGTTATAGAAACCTAATACAGCATTAAGAGGCCAAAGAGAGAATTGGACACAAGTAGAAATTATTCTTCTGTGATTGTTGTTGGACCATCTGTAGATTACTTTGCTAAATTGTGAGTACCATATTAGAGAAGGGATTTTGAGGAGGTTGAGAAGGATCAAAAGAAGCAAGGGGGATTATTTTCCATGCCATTCTGGAAAAATTGGTATTCTCTAGTTTCAGAATTCGAAAGGAAATAGTAAAGGTAGATGCAGATATGCAGTCTAAACAAGAAACAAAGTCTAAGACTCAACACTAAATACTCCTAAAGCTATGGGAACAGCAGGCTAGAAGTGAGGTTGCATCTGAAGAAGTGAGGTTCTTACCCACGAAAGCTTATGCTCCCAATACTTTTGTTAGTCTTAACGGTGCCACAGGACCCTCTGTTGCTTTTTACAGGCTAGAAGTGAGTGACTCACAAAAATCATAAAAATGTAGGCCTGGAAGGGACCTCAAGAGGCCATCTAGTCTATCCCCCTGTGCTGAGGCAGGTTTAAGTATATCTAGACTATCCCTGACAGATGTTTGTCTAACCTGTTTTTAAAACCTCTAGTGATTGGGATTCCACAGCCTCTCTAGGGAACCTGTTCCAGTGAGTTAGAAAGTTTTTTCCTATTTAGTTTGAAGGTACCCTTCTTGCCCTGAAGTGAGTGAAACCTGTGGTATTTCCTACCAAGTACAGCAGTAGAGGAACAACTAGAACAGCTATGTTACTAAAGGACAAAAGAGATATATTACAGGAAATAATATTCTGGGATATTTATGCATTGCTAGTTTGGACTTGAAGGGTTTTTTGTGGCCTGAGCCTGTAGTAGTGTTCTTTGTATGAAAACACCATGTTCCTGGCATAGTATCCTTTTTATGTTTTTTTTAAAGGAAGTATTAACAGGTTTACAAATCCTTGCCATACAAATATCAGAAACAAAACAGTAATCATTAATCTTTTGTTTAAAGAGACATGCATGAATATAGTCATCATCTCTCTCTCTGTTCATCAGGGAGTTAGCCATATTAAAGAGTGAGCATTGTTAACAACACCTACGATGTTATTTCTAGTGATTTTATTAAATTGAGTGAAATCTCTGATTATACATAATTAATGGACCAGGCATGGCTATCAAATGTTAATAGTTTGGAAAAAAGGACCCCCTGCTGGGGGGGTTTTCTGGTGAATGTACGCTGAGTGTTGTTTACTACTTCTCATAACACAAGAACTAGGGGTCACCAAATGAAATAAATAGGCAGCAGGTTTAAAACAAAAGGAAGTATTTCTTCACACAACGCACAGTCAACCTGTGGAACTCCTTGCCAGAGGATGTTGTGAAGGCCAAGACCGTAACAGGGTTCAAAAAAAGAACTAGATAAATTCATGGAGGATAGGTCCATCAATGGCTATTAGCCGGGATGGGCAGGAATGGTGTCCTTAGCTTCTGTTTGCCAGAAGCTGGGAATGGGAGACAGGGACTGGATCACTTGATGATTACCTGTTCTGTTCAATCACTCTGGGGCACCTGGCACAGGCCACTGTCAGAAGACAGGATACTGGACTGGATGGACCTTTGGTCTGACCCAGTAGGGCCGCTCTTATGAGTACTGAATAAAAGGTAACCCAATATCTAAGTATCTATTTGTCCTCTGTCTATTTTGCTGGGTATGTAATTGGTATGTTAATTTTTCCATAACCGCATCCTTCTATGCTTTTTTAAACCATTCTTCTATGGTAGAACTTTTTTTTTCTTTTCTTTTTTTTTCCCCTCCAGTGAGAGGTTATAAATTGCTGAGCAGCTACTAGCAGATGAGAGATTAGGCATAATATACTTGTGTTGCTTGGTTTTTCATTTTCAGCGTAGCCAAAAAGTATTTTGAATACTACAAATAATACCAGCGTCTGTGTAATATGCGTCTGAATTTTTGTCAGTTAATGAGCTTCAAACTAAACCCTTAAGAAAAATGCCTGGCTGTATTTAGAGAAGAAAAGTGAAATGGGTTATGCAGATGCACTTTGGGATTATATTCATTTTATTACATGGTCATCTTCTCTGGCATATGTGTTTTGTAACACAAAAATCCTCATTTGTTATATGCTTAGTTACTTGTATATAATTGAATGTAATTATTTTAATATAGTTTGAAATTCACCTAGTCTCAAATGTTTAAATCTTTGTACAACTTTACTCTTCTATCTTAATTAGCTCCAAAAGCAGGATATAGCCAAGGAGCAACTCAGTATACTCAAGCCCAGCAAACTCGACAAGTGACAGCCATAAAACCAGCCACCCCAAGTCCAGCTACAACTACTTTCTCCATATATCCAGTATCCTCCACTGTGCAGCCAGTAGCAGCTGCAGCAACTGTCGTTCCATCCTATACTCAGAGTGCTACTTACAGTACAACAGCAGTTACTTACTCTGGTAAGAATTTTGCATGTTATATTACTATGAGGTTTGTGAGTCATGTTATGGAAAAGGATTTTGTAGGCTCAAAAATTTGGTAATTAAGTTTGTGTTTAGTTGTGTCATAAAGCACCAAGAAATATTCAGCCAGTTAGATCACTATATTGGCAGAGTATTCGGACATATTTTTGGACGAGAACAATAGTTGTATGTGGTCCTGTTTTGTTGTACATAATCAAAGCGATTGCAGCACTGCTTGGATAGTTTTTGGTGGTGGTCAAGTATGGGAAGGGAGCAGAGACCATGGAATGGAAAAAAACAGACAATTGTCCAAAGAAAATGTTTGGGAGGCAATGTACCACCATCAGACAACAGTTGTGAAGAGTAGACTGGGCAATCCAGAGTAAAATTTAGACTTTGGATTACTTTCATCTCATGTGGGAGGAGGGGGTGGTACAAGAGCTTTGCTCCAAACATAAGAGATTCAAGGCTTGATTAAAAATGGAAGGAATCCTGTTTTGCTTTATAACCAGATGGTAATCAACTGGAAAGTTGCAGCTGCTTGGATCTTTTGGTATCCTGTTTAAATGGGACATTTAAAATGTTCCTTGAAACAGGAAAAGCCTAATCAGTGGATTAAAGTAGTTGAACACTAGATGTGGAGAGTTTATGGGAAAACTGTCTCAAAGGTATGAAAACACAGTTTTCTTGATTTATTCAACTGTGCTACTAGAAATTAAGACGTGAATAGATAAGGCAAGTTACAGAGAACCAAGCAGGCCAACAGTTTGTTTGCACCAAAGTGCATCTGAGGGTGCTGGATGGTTAAATACCAAAGAGAAGAGGCTCCTAAGCACTGTTGTGGTTTTTGTTTCACACCCATTTGTGTCCTTTTCTTTTCATTTTGAATCTTGCACCATAAATTGTCGCTTATTAATAAACCTGGGTTTGAAGAAATATTCATTTCTAGTGGCTTTTATCTCATCTTTGCTGTGCACACCCAGCCCTCCCAGATGTACCAGGAGCGTTGACACATTCTTGAATGGCAGAATTAAATATACTGCGGTCCAGCATAGTGGACCGCAGTATATTTAAAATTGTATAGCTACAAAGATCCGTCTGAGAGAATACATACCCCTGATGACATAGGTGGGAAATGGTATTTAAATTTGTACATCATAAAAAGTCAAGTAAAATTCTGTGTGATAAGATCATTTGACCACACATTGCATCTCAGGACCGTGTCAAAATGTTTAGATCACAAAATGTACCTTTATGGAAAAAAATTAAATGTCATGCAGCATCCCTGGATGCATAACTGTGTAACTGTGATATACAATGTGTTACATTATAACATTATCATATTTTGATCTTTGAGGTACCTCTTATTCTGGCTATGAAGCCGCAGTATATTCAGCAGCATCGTCCTATTACCAGCAGCAGCAGCAGCAACAGAAACAGGCGGCGGCAGCGGCGGCTGCTGCTGCTGCAACAGCTGCCTGGACAGGGACCACCTTTACTAAAAAGGCACCATTCCAAAATAAGCAGCTGAAACCAAAACAACCTCCCAAACCACCACAGATCCACTATTGTGATGTTTGTAAAATCAGTTGTGCTGGACCACAGGTACCTGTATTACATGACATTCCACTATACCTCTTAGTCATCGTTTCATATAGCTAAAAACACGCATTATTTAAGAACAGTTGTGGATTGAGGAAATTATTTAAATAACTTTGCTCTAGAAGCAGTTTGAAAATGTGTACCACTATGAAAAGGAAATACTGATGTTTGTGCTCTATGTGAACAGCTGAATTCTACTTCCCACCGTGAAAGTTTACATTTTCCATTTGAAGCACTGTTCTGCTCAGAAGCAAACTTCCTGGGGAAAACTCTCTTCTCAGACCTATAGACCCTTGAGAATTTAAGCTTTTATAAAATTTCTCTTTGAAAAATATTCTACTTTGTAGTATTCTGTTTCTCCTTCTAGTATCCCAGTCTAGTTTTGAAATGGCTGAATGTAGTACTGTCTTGCCAGGGCATTCAGATTAAGACAGCAAAGAACATGAGTTTTTTACACATTTGGTTAGAATATTTGTTGTTCTGCATGTCATGTTAAAAAAACTGTCATTGTTTTCTACTACTTCTCCCACTTGGACTGCCCCTTCCCACGCAAGGACACTTTCAATTTTAAAGGTTTTACTTTGCACCTGGATGTATTTAAGCAGTGTCTCCTTCTGAATTATTAAGTTCTTTGGGGTGCTCTAAATCACTCGGGACTTGGGTACAGCCTACTGGATAAGATCACTTGATTGTTAATATCTGTCACTTGGCATTGACAATACTTAATGATTTGGGAAGTAGGAAGGTGAAAAAAGTCCTTACTGCTTTTTGCCAACTATGGAGTTCTGTATATCATGAAAGGAAAATTATTTCCTGGTCCCTGCCAGCAGTTAGCTTATGCCTCAAAGCACGTGCACAATAAAATGGCAGTGCTATGTATAGGAAATATGTTCCCTAGCAAAACTAAGTGTTGATGACTATTTCTAGCTTATAACCTATTGTATATTTTATAGTATCATATGATTGACATAATTAATGGAGTAAAAATAATTTATTGAGGATGTATGCTTTTTCACTGCATTTTTAAATAGACTTATAAAGAACATTTGGAAGGCCAGAAACACAAAAAGAAAGAAGCGGCATTAAAAGCATCTCAGAACACTAGCAACAGCAGTACTTCTGCTCGTGGAACTCAGAATCAGTTGCGCTGTGAGCTCTGTGATGTGTCTTGTACAGGAGCAGATGCATATGCTGCCCATATTCGTGGAGCTAAACATCAGAAGGTAGGAATGGAGGTTGTTCGTAACTCTGAACAAACCATTATGGTTGTTCTTTCAAAAGTTTACAACTGAACATTGATTTAACACAGCTTTGAAACTTTACAATGCAGAAGAAAAATGCTGCTTTTAACCATCTTAATTTAAATGAAACAAGCACAGAAATAGTTTTCTTACCTAGTCAATTTTTAAAAAACTTTTCATCTATTTTTTAGCTTACGTTTTCTAGTTTACGTTTAACACAATATTTTACTACATTTGTGTTTTATTTTTTTGGCTTTGCTGCTCACTGATTGCATACTTCCAGTTCCAAATGACATGTGTGGTTGACTAGTCTGTTCATAACTCTGGTGTTGTAACTCTGAGGTTCTACGTAGTTGTCAAACTTTTAAGATTAATCTACCGTTTTTATCCCCTTCTCCACCCTCACTTCCCATATTGTACCTTTTATTGTTGAGCACTAAATGATTCTTTTTTTGGAGTCTGTCAATATTTCTTTTAAATCTGATGTGTCAGAAAACTGAAATTTAATTGTATTAAGGCGTCCTGCAAAGGACTTTATATGATACATAAAGGAAACCTGAATACTTGTTTTCCTGCTTGTTTTTTACTGTATATCATATCAGGAATGTCATTTGCTAAAAGACCTGTTATTGCTCATGTCAGTCTGTGTTGTGGAATCTTGTACTTTAAATGATGGGGCAGAGTTATTGAATCTTTAATAAAGCCTTCTGTTCTCCAAAGTGTTCATCAGTCATAGTAGTTAAAATAGTTTAGTAAGCTCCCCACCAAGGGGCATGGAAGGCGGAAGAGAGCACATGAAATCTTAAACAATTTGACTAAAAATCCCTCCACCATCTCGGTTTCTTGGCTTTTTTTGACTCTTGACTCTGGTGATGTAATGTTTTCACTAGTTGTCCAGTCATCGTGGAGTTTTTCTGGGATAGATAAAGCCAGTATTTCTAATGTAAAAAGCAAGCAGAGAAAAGTTTACAGAGGACTGAAACTTCTATTCATAAATCATTAAAGAAACAAAAAATTGACAAGTTCATTTTTTTTCCCCACGTACAGATCAACTTTTTAAGGATATTAGCCATATTATTTTTTTTAAATGTAAACCAAGTGGTTCATGTTTTTTAATGAGGAGCCTATTAAATTTATTTATTTATTTATTTATGGTTTTAGGTGGTTAAGTTGCACACAAAACTTGGGAAGCCAATTCCTTCAACTGAACCAAACGTTGTTACCCAGTCTACTTCCTCAACAGCTGCATCTGCTTCCAAACAGACTGCCTCTGCTTCAAATATTGCAACTAGCAGCAGCACTGTGAACTCCTCCGTTACATCTTCTGCAGTGAAAATTCTTACTCCCACAGCAAGCACACCAATTAACTCCGCATCCAACAGCAAAGTGTCCGTAGTTGCTGCTAATATACCTGTAAAGAAAATATCTACACCGAAAATAAACTTTGTTGGCAAGTACAGAAGTCAGTCTTCATTTTGAAATCTAACCTATTATAAGGATTTAAAATTTATATGTATCTAGTCTCTATGGTCTCAATGCTGCAAACACTTCTGCATATGCATAACTTTATGCATGTGAGTTATCCATGTTAACTTTGTCCACATAGGAGTAATCCCCTTGAAGTCAAGTGCATAAGTGTTGGCAGCATTGAGGGCTATGTGTTTTATGTGATATAAACATGCAGTTCTGGTACGCTTTCCATTTTTTTGATCCTGTTAGCAAAAAATGTATCTTATGAAAGCAGTTCTACAGTGGGTTACTTCTGAAAGCAAAAAGATTGCTCATCTGTATACCTTTAATATGGAGTATCTCATAGAACTGGAAGGGACCTTGAAAGGTCATTGAGTCCAGTCCCCTGCTTTCACAGCAGGACCAAGTACCACCCCCCCTTCCAACCCCCCCAGATCCCTAAATGGCCCCCTCAAGGATTGAGTTCACAACCCCGGTATCAGAGGGGTAGCCGTGTTAGTCTGTATCCACAAAAACAATGGACTCTCCTCGTTGTTTCTTTGGTTGTTCCCTTTCAATCTTGCTTGCAGAACACTGAGCTGGATTTAATAGATGTCTAAATTGCATAAGCCTACTAAGTCTTTACTGCAAAAATGGAGAACTTTGGTCAACAGTTGTAAAAGTTTGGGTACCATTAAATTATTTAAGAAAAATAAACCCACCCTAAACGTTGATTATAGCTGAACTTTTACAGTGTTCTCTGTTTAATTGTATGTTTATGATGTTTAAATTTATTCTTAAAATAATTGAAAAAAATGGAGGCACTCTGGCCAAAATCTTGCCATTTGCAAATGAAATCTCTTTAATCTGTACATATTCTGTAAGCATATAATCATTCTACCAAAATTAACAATTCATTTTAAACTTATTTGATTTTAGGTGGTAATAAGCTACAGACAACAGGAAGTAAACAGGAAGATATGAAAGCAGTTGAAAATGTTAAGAATACGCCTTTGGTTGCTGTTGTACAGACGCAGGAAGTAAAACCAGATACGGCATCAGAACCAGTTACTCCAACAACTCTTGCTGCTTTGCAGAGTGATGTCCAGCCAGTGGGCCATGACTATGTGGAGGAGGTATTAATCTGAAAATCCTCTTAGTATACTTGTTTGATTAAATAAAATGTGTCAATTAGAATTATAACGCAAGACCCTGATCCTGCAAAGACTTATGCATGTGCTTAAATTCAAACTTTGTGAGCAGAACCTTTGAAGTCAGTGGAACTGTTCACCATGCATTCTGGTAAGCATGTGTATATAAGTTTTGTAGGATCCAGGGTTTAAGTTGAATATACTAAAAAAGGTTTTCCACTATTTTTTTTAAGTATTTGTTTGAATCTAAGGAGTAAATAAAACTATATTTTTAAGACTATAAGCTCTTCTGGGTATGAATCATGTGTTCCTCTTCGTACAGTACCTAACACAGTGGGGATCTGATCATGATTGACAATTCTTATCTTGACAATACCTCTTTTAAAGTGCATACTAAAATATATGTGTGTAAATATGTTAACATGTTTTGAGTAGGATACAATTAAGATTCTTGTAAAATTAGGTTAATTTGTAGAAAAGGTAAATTGTGGGGTTTTTTAATATCCAGAAAACTAATACAACATTATTTTATTTCCAAGGTACGGAATGATGAAGGGAAGGTGATCCGCTTTCACTGCAAACTCTGTGAGTGCAGCTTTAACGATCCTAATGCCAAGGAGATGCATCTAAAAGGAAGGCGGCACAGGCTTCAATATAAAGTTAGTTGATATACTGCTGACCGTATTTAAACTTTACAAGACCTTAATTGTAGTAACTTGTTACTTAGATTCAAGATTAGTGGTTACCATGCCCAAATGGTATGTAAAAGGGTAGAAAAATATTGTATTTATCTTTCTCGGTGTGTATTTTAAGATGATATATAGTGGCTTGAAGAAGTGATATGTGCTGTGATTATTTTTTTTTTTTAAATGAAAATGTTAAGCAACACTGTATTTGAGTGTTTGGAAACACTAAAATGTAGTATGTAGTAATTAAAGCTACAGTAGGTCCTTGCATGTTTTTTACTATGAATTAGCAATAGTACAGGATTAGCATTGGGCTACATTTTACAGAACACTTTTCTTTAAATTGACTTACTTAGGGTGATAGGAAAAGTAAAACTTTCTATTTTTGGCAGTATTTTCTTAATTTTATATTAATTCTGGGCATTGCTCAGTTATTCCAGTCTTTAAAACATGCAATTTTAATAAATCATGTTTTAACCAAAACCTTGTGTTCTAAAGTACTAATGTTTGACATGGTAGAAAAATACTATAAAGAGTAAATTTCCTAAAGCCAGGGTGAAACGAAAAGTAAAACCAACATTTCATTCTATCTCTGAAACATTAGAAAAAAGTAAATCCAGATTTGCAAGTAGAAGTAAAGCCCAGTATCCGAGCAAGAAAAATTCAAGAAGAGAAGATGAGAAAGCAGATGCAGAAAGAAGAATATTGGAGAAGACGAGAAGAGGAGGAACGTTGGAGGATGGAAATGAGGTAACATGTCTAATATTATAAGTATGAGATGAGTTGAACAAAAGCTGCAGTGAGGTCACCTGAAGAAGGTTCCCATCCTAGGTTCCCTGTAAGCTGTATGGCCACGCAGCAGACTACTTAGGGCTGTGCAGGTCCCCTGGCCCGGCCCAGCCCCTCAGGAGCTGCCGGGGAGAGGAGCCCCGGCCTAGCCCAGGCCCTCATCGCAACCCTCTGCCCCACCCCGGAGCTCACACCCACAGCCAAAGCCTTCATCCCCCCGCAACCCAACCCTCTGCCCAGCCCTGAGTCCCCTTCCGCACTCTGAACCCCTCGGCCCCACCCCACCCCATGAATTTTGTTATGTGCACTCGCTGGAGCTGCCGCAGCTGGGGACAGGAGCCCCTCCCCTGACTCCGCTGGAGCTGCCGCAGCTGAGGACAGGAGCCCCTCCCTTGGCCCGGCCCAACCCCGCTGGAGCTGCCACAGTGGGGAGAGGCGCTGCTCCCTCCCAGTCCAGGTGCTGCTTGCGGGAGAGAGAGCTTGGCGGAGTCCTCTCTCCCCGCCGTAGCCCCGGGGTAGCCTGCCCCTCAAACCCCTCATCCCCAGCCCCACCCCAGAACCCATGCCCCAACCCTCTGCCCCAGCCCTGAGTCCCTTCCCTCACTCTGAAACTCTCTGCCCCACCCCGTCACATGAATTTTGTTATGTGCACCAATATAGAGGTAATGTGTCACACATCACTTCCATATTGGTGCACATTGCAAAATTCATTCTGCACATTGGTGGGAAAAATTAGAGGGAACTCTGGTTCCATCCTATTTAATTACCTCCTGATGAATGCTCATGTTGAGGACTCTAAACCTTTTTGTCTTCAATCAGGCCATCGTACAACTCTGAGCATTTTTTATTTGATCCATCAGAGGAATATGGGTCTGTTTAAAATTGTTTGTATTTAAGAGTAGGGGTTGCTTCTAGTGCGACTATCCCGTTTTACTTATCGTTTGGAGCTCCCAAGGTCATGACTGCTAAAGATGAGCTAGTGAATAGTATCAAATAATTTTTTAGAAGAATTGAAAACTGCTCTTTGCTATGTAAAGAACATACTTTGGTTCATACAATTCAGACGCTATGAGGAGGACATGTACTGGAGGAGGATGGAGGAGGAGCAGCATCACTGGGATGACCGTCGCCGAATACCTGATGGAGGATATCCTCATGGCCCTCCAGGACCTCTAGGCTTGCTAGGCGTCAGACCAGGAATGCCTCCTCAGCCCCAGGGACCAGCTGTAAGTTTCTTAAATTGGAAAATTTTTAAGTTGAAGTCTCTTAAATCAGGCATAGTTCTTGGGTATATTTGATCTTGGCCATCTGTATTACTACATTAATCTGTTTCAATATTATTCTCTAATAAAGTGCTTGGAAATGTGAAAAAAAAGGGACTCTATACAGGTATAAGGATCTGTCGGAGAGTCCTGCTGGATTAAGTGTCAATATAAGAGCACATTAAAGGTACATGTTGACCAGCCTCATGTGCAAGTCTACCTGCATAAATTTACCATGAGTTAATATTCATATGCAATATTATTTTCAAGAAACAGAAATAAATACTTTACAAAAAATTTCATTGATTAATAAATATCTATTTCCCAATTAACAGTAAAACAACAAAAATTACATTATTTAGAAGAAAGAGGATAAAAGTTAAGGTTAGATTTTGATAAACAATGCATTTCCTTGTATGTAGAGTTGACAGAATTTGATTTTTATAATTTTGAAGGATAATATCCATGTTTATTTTTAAGCATTTTTTAATTATCAATTTAAATTTTAATTGTTGCAGGAAATTACGGGGTAAGAGTCAGACAATTTAATAAGAGTAGGCATTGGAATTCAGAAAGTTAAAGCTTTTTAGCAGTTAAACCACAAATTGTCACATGTCCAGATATATAAAGTCAGTATCCTTAAAACTCTACTAAGTTCTCAAGCAGACTTTTCTTACTTTGCCTAGCTGCAAATTTAGAATAGATGGAGCTATTTTTTCATCGTGTGTGTGTGTGTTTTCAGCATTTATCTACATTTACCGATAATCTAATCCTTCCAACCTTTCTTATATTTGGTTATACAGACGCTCCCCGGGTTACGCAAACCCGCACTTATGGAAAAAGTTCCGTAAGCGGTGTGTGTTTGTGGGTTGGTTTTTTTGGTGGCTTTTTTTGCGTAATTGTCAGGTTTACATCCCGGACTTATGCAAAATTCGACTTATGGAAGGTGTTCTGGAACGGAACGCTTGCGTAAGTCGGGGAGCATCTGCATGCGTGTTTACTTGAGTTGTCTTAAAGTTACTGTGTCCTTAACTTTTAGTTTTTGTTACTTTTAAATTGTCAGGTTTTATATATGATTATGATGCTGTCACTCAACACTCTTACTGGTTTTTGTTTTTAATTAAGTTTTCTTGCTAGAACTTGTATTTTAAAAATTCAAGTAAAGTTACCATAACATTTTTCTCAATGTAGCCTCTGCGTCGTCCAGACTCATCTGATGACCGTTATGTGATGACCAAACATGCAGCCATTTATCCAACTGAGGAGGAACTTCAGGCAGTCCAAAAAATAGTTTCCATCACTGAGCGTGCTCTGAAACTTGTGTCTGACAACATGACTGACAATGAAAAAACTAAGGGCAAAGAGGGAGATGATAAGAAAGATGGCAGTAAAGACAGGTATGTCTGTCTTCAGTTTAAAAAAATTTTGTGCTGAGGTGGAAAAAGTCATCCCATGTTTCTCCCCCTATATCATCTTTAGTGCTGCCTCAGATTCTGTTCTCTCTAGGTTCTGACTGCATGCATCACGATGGTATCTGAGTATGTGGAGTGCTGTTTTACTTCATCCTTTTTTTATCTTCAAAGTTGTTTATGAATGATTGATATGATTTGAAGCACCTCTTGTAACTATAACTTCACTTCCCCACAGAGCTTTGAAAGGAGTTTTACGGGTAGGAGTTTTGGCTAAAGGCTTACTTCTCCGTGGAGACCGAAACGTCAACCTTGTTTTGCTGTGTGCTGAGAAGCCTTCAAAGGCATTACTCAGTCGTATTGCAGAAAGTCTTCCCAAACAACTTGCAGTAAGTTGGATTTGGATTTTTGAGAAGATGCCATAAAGAACATTTTCTGGAGTCAAATTATTTGTAGGGCTGACTGTTCCCCAGTTTTACAGCAGGGACATTAAAAGTTGTGTAGCATTTTCCCAGTATTTGTATCTGAATTCAGTGCCCATGAAAAGTCTTTTCAATCCATTGTATGGGTAAGCAAGAAGCGGGATCCATTTCACAAGAGCATGGAAATGTTTGTTCTGCTCCTCACAGGTAGTGCCAGTTCATAGATGTAGTAATCTCTCCGTCCTTTTATATGTGGAGACAGAGGTTGATGTAAGAATCCTCTTTTGCCTAAACTACCATCAGTGCCAAAGACAGAAGTAATATACATACATGGTAACAGTCGTAGGTGGTTTACTTGAATGGAGATTATAGATAGCAATACAGTTATCAGTTACTATGCACTACTCACTTGTTAGAGATTTTTATATTGAAGTTACAGAACAAGATCTGTATGTGAAAGTGATCTACAGTTCCAGAATTACCATATATATTCGTTCATTAGCCTGTTCATTTATAAGCGGACCCCCCCCAAGATGGCTAGGTAAAAATAGCAAAAACTGTATGACCCTTTCATAAGCCAACCCTATATTTCAGGGGTTGGCAAACTTTGGCTCCTGGCCCGTTAGGGTAAGCCGCTAGCATTAGCCTGGACATTTTGTTTACCTAGAGCGTTCACAGGCACGGAGCCCCTCCGCTCCCAGTGCCCACGATTTGCCATTCCCAGCCAATGGGAGCTGCGGGAAGTGGCGTGCCTGTGAACGCTCCAGGTAAACAAAATGACAATGTATTAGATATTCAATTCAATGATTCCATAGAGTTTTTAAAATCATCAAATTTTGGTGTAGACCCGTTTATAAGCCGACCTCTGCTCTGCGATGCATCACTTTTTTACCAAAAATATTCGGCTTATGAACGACACCTACCTCATTACTCACTCTAAGATTGCACACACATACATATCACTGAATGTGAAGTAAAACGTCTGCCATAAATCCCCAAATAATGAAAAATTCATACTTAGAACTATGATCTTATCTCTCATCTACTCCAAAAGCCTACGTATGTTATGGAATCACAGAAGGTTTGCAATGTTGTCCTCTGTTCTGATGTCACTTGACAGAGGATAATATTGCAAGATAATGTGCTGGCACAATGGATGAATTGAGAAATAACTAGCTTTCACTGAATTTTTTGTTTGCTTTTGTTGCTGTAAGCAAAATATGCAAACCTTGGGCCAGGTCCTCGAGACCAGCCATTTGCCTGTGCAGCTTGTGGAGGAGGGGAGGACGGTGTTGACAGGTTTTCCTTGGGTCATTAGGAGCCAGTAATTCTGCTCATAAGGAATAACTTAGAATAGCCTCATGGCTACTCTTTAGGTTATTGCGTGGTCTGTTAGCTGCCCCCGGGGGCCACTCAAGCAACCATTAATAAAGTAAATATAGCAGTTTACCTGCACTCGAAGGGGTTGTGGCATAGGAATCACTACTTCAGCTCTGTGCCATCTAAAGATTTCTCCAAACCAGGGGAATCCTCCATTGATTAGTTAAACCGGGTTTAAGGCTGTTTTTTTAACTTCAAAATTGCTGAGAATCTGACCCCTTATTTTAATATATTTTGTGCATGCATTTCCTCAGTGTGGTATCTTTTAAAAATGCTTTTGGGGCAACTGCTACATGTTTTTAGTTACAGTCCCTGATAAAACTGCATGGCAGTCCATCTTTTTTTTTAAACTGCATGATTAAAACCATATAATTATGTATTGAGGAGACACCATTGTTATATTGTAGTTCTGTGACCCTCTGAGAATGAATGTGTCCCTCCTCCACCCCCTCTTTTTTGTAAGTGCTAAACGTGCAATTGCTTCCAATTTTTTTCATTATTCAGGTAATAAGTCCTGAGAAGTATGAAATAAAGTGTGCAGTAACAGAAGCAGCGATAATTTTGAATTCATGTGTGGAACCCAAAATGCAAGTTACTATCACATTGACATCACCGATCATTCGGGAGGAGAACATGAGGGATGGAGGTTGGAAAGTTGTTAAAGATGTTACCTCTATATTACCAGTTTTTGTATATTTATCTAGTCTGTTTAAGATGACATTAAGTCCTGGAAGGCAACATGCTGGCATAATATACGTATTTGATTGAAACCCTACTTATTCAACAACCAGTCTTGCTAGAGATCATTAAAATTCAAGGCTTATATGATGCATTCATTTAGATCAAAAAATTATCTTCTTCCCCCTAACTTAATGTCCAGCCTCAGCTTTCTGGAAAAGTTACTAAATTGTGTCTCTTTTCTCCTCCCTCCCCTTACAAAATTCAGTTATTTGGAAAACTAAACGTTTTACAGCAAGTGGTTACAAGCCTGCCCTAAGAGATTTTGCAGCATATTAGAAAACTAAATCTTTATATCTTTACATTCTGGTTTTGAAACTGGATCTGTCTTGCCACCACTTGCATCTTTAAAATGGCATTGCTGCGTATAATATACACGTTATTTTGATGTTCATAGTGTTTGTAGCTTTGTCTGGAAGAAGATGTGAATTTTTCCAGCTGTCTGAGGTTGGTCTTTGGACTGGAGTGCTTTTTTTAAATATACAGGCTCCTGGTATTAAGATCTGAGTATTTTACCCAAATAGCATACACAGAGTAGTACAGTAATAAGAAATGGTTTGGTCACTGAGTTAAAGTAGAAGTTGGTTGGCGCTCTTAAAACCGATTTATATTTGTGAATGTGCAATCCCACTGGTGCCAGCAGTGTTGCTTTAGGGTCTGTTCTGTAACACTTTCAAAGCTCCAAAAGCTTTTTAGCCAACAAGCATGATTAATGTCTGCAATAGGTTGGTTCTATTGTTCTATGGGTCAGATAAAATTAACTTTGTTTCCTTTCATCCTGTGTTTTCGTAGTCAAAGAGATCATAACAAACCAGGGTCTATTGTTGAATATGAACCTACAAGCAGGCAATTTGTCTGTATTAACACTTTTTCATGATGCAGGTTGGAAAAAAAAGTGTGTGTGTATGTATATGTGTGCGTGTGTATATACATATATAGTTATTTAATTAAAATCATAGAATTAATTCTTTTATTTCGTCTCAGCAGTTTTATCTGTCCTTTAAAATATTTGAGGCTTTTCCTTATGTTAGATATTTTTGAAATTAGAGAATTATAATCAAGCTTTGTTGTCAGAGCTGCTTCCTACGCCAGAAAACAAAGCTGGAATATGTGTTCTCTGGATTGGATGTCTTTTATTTTTGATCTTTAGTAGTGTGCTGTACACAATTAATGAACTGTGTGTATATCTCCAACTATACATGCTTCGTACAAATACTATTACATCAAACCCAGCCATTTTAGTCTCATTTTTGGCAATTGAAATTATGCCAGAAATGTGATACTTGGTTCACCTGGACTGAATCATGCAAAGCATTTCACCTTGTTAACAATTGGTAAAAAAAAAAGGGGGGCAGTCGCCGTTATAGGTTTGATTATAGATGCTATGAAATTAGATTAATTTTAACCATTATCTTTATTCCTTAATGTACTATGGAAAACTACAATTAGTCCATACTGCAGTTCTAAACTACAGTAAAATTGGTTTGTGGCCATTAGAATTTTATACTATAATAAATGTAAAAAAATAAATCACAGGTGTTTTTCAGTTCATTGATACTTTATGCCCCAAAGGAAACAAAACTATATTTTTGTCTGACCCAGACTTGAGCTAGAATTGTCATTCTGAGTTTGAGTCACCTGCTGAGTTGATGGTATTGCCTTTAGGGAAGCAAAATCAAACGAGGTAAATCGATTTCACTTCAAGACACTGAGCAGTGTAAAATGGATGTGCGGAAAAGTTCACTTGTGAAACTAGAAGAAAATGCAGAATATTAAACTGCAGATTATTGCCATAAACCAGGTTTTATTATGAAGATTGCTGCTTATTTGCTGCAGAATAACTGTGTGTGTTTTTTCTTTTACTGCAGCTCCTAATGCTCTGTGTCTTAAAATGGTTTAAAGTCTTTTGCTGGTTTTGTGGGAGCTAGTTTAGGTGATAACGAAGGCTTTGTCGGAAGAAACAATTTGATTAAAGATGAGACTGTGACTTGCATGTGAAGTAAAATCATATTTAGTGTGTGATGATAATCCCATTAAATGACAAAAGGATAAAAAAGAAAATGAATTATTTTAAAAATAAAACTGTTAACCGCACGGCAATTGTGCCATACATTATTGTGCATTTGACAGTTATCCAGCATTTCCCTGAATTGACTTTGAATCTGATAAGTTCTAAATGCTCTAACCCTTGCTGTAGAATCTTTCTCTCAGCAAACAAAGTATATTGTGTGTGTGTGTGTGTGTGTGTGTGTGTGGGTTTTTTTTGTTTTGTTTTGTTTTGTTTGTTTTTTAATCCTTAGTTTATCAGTCCCGGTCCAAAGCCTTCTAGCAGAGGGAGTTGAATCCTGTCAGGGGTTGCTGCCAAGACATCGGAAGGATTTTTGACCAAGGTTTTCTAAAGCTCAGTGTCACACCTGCCATACTGCATAAAGGATAGGCTTTGGTTGCATAGTCCTAGCATTTACTGTTACTTTGTGTTTTTTCTTTTTGTCTTTTGTCTCTCTTCTAGAATTAAGCAGTGTTCACACTAGTTTTGAAATAGTTGACTGGGTAACACGTATTTCACATAGTGGAATTTACTGAAATTGATATACCTGTTAACTTTTAATGAGGAAATAGTGTGGACACAGCATGTCTTCTAACCAAAGATTAACCCCTTATGTTTAGGTTATTTATAGAATACAGTTACATAGGGTAAGAATTTGTACTTGTTTTTGTAAATTAACATAGCTTTTGTTTTAGGTTAACAGGGTGGCAGGTTAGGAGTCTAATTACTATAGTCTTTAAGGGGTTAATCCACTTGAAACGTAAAACAGGTGCAAAAATCCACAATGACATTTTACAAGAGTTTCTCGAATATATTTTCAGCCAAAATTTATTCTCAGTTGCAATAGGTGCCTTGGCATCTTCTGACTTTCACAATAGCTTTAAGTTTCAAGGTTATTCATGCAGTCTCCATTATTAATGGCACATGGCATATTTCAGATCCATGTTTCCAGCATAAAGTAAGATTTTCTACTGTGCATTAAAATGTAAATATTTCATAATAGAATTATTTTCCAAAGTGTTTCAGTGCTAGAAACTGAGTAATTGCAGTTTCAAGTTATATAGTATATTATTATGCTGAAAGATTGCACAGTGTCACCTATTTGCACATTCATGTTATAAGAATGTAGATAATTGACTGACACACACAGTCCACTTGACCCCCAAGTTTGTGTTAATTTCTCAACCTCCCCTTGGTTTTCTACAATTTCTCTAAATGTATTCATTGTCTCTAATACTCACGTTATGCTCCTTTCTTAGATTGCCTTACTTGACAGCTTTTTTCTGTAGGTTTACTATTCTTGACTGAAATAATTTTACTTTTAATGTCTTCACTTACTCTTTGACCCCTTCATCAGTGTAAATGGCTCCTCATTTCACCTTATCAAATACAATCTCACAAATATACTCAAAATTAGTATCTACTTTTTCCCCAACAAAAATTCTTAATGTGGAATCATTGTGGCTTCTTATATTTCACCTGGTGCAGAGCAAAATAAATTTTCCAATGAAAAGGAGACCAAATCCAAACAGTATTCTAGATTTAATTTTTAGTAATTATATTGGAGAGTTAAAGTATCCTTTTTGATTTATATGCTTTTTAACTGTGGGTGCATCCTAATAGCCTATTGACTTCTTTCCTTCATTTATATGTTGGCAGCTGCCTTAAAGTTTCCCCTTAAATCTTTTTCAAGTCAGTATGCTTCATGAGTGTTATAGTGAATGCCATCACTTTTTTTGTTTGGTACTCTAACTTGCTCATGTCACATTTTTCAACACCAGACTGCTTTTAATATATTGCCACTCTTCTGAATGAGCCAAATGGAGTGTTGTTTAATTAGTCATCCTGTGCCATATCAACATATTTTGTTACTCATCGTGAAGGCCATTTTCATATATAATAAGCTAAGGACGTTATAAAACTAATCATTGAGTTACACCATTGGTACACCGTTAGCCAGCTAGAAGCTACCTTTTGGAATCACTCAGTGTTGCCTGTTTTGTTGGGACAACCAATTTGAAAAAGCTTATTGTACCTTTTGGTCACTTATTAGGTAGTCATAACTTGATCAAAACCCTGTTTCTTGAACACTTAAATGTACAAGATCTATTGTTTCTTTTATCTTCCAAACATTCTGATACTGCTTCTACTACTCTTCTTTCTCCTGCTTAGACTTAACCAAGATATGCCTTTTTCAGCTGTTCGTTAATATTTCTTAGATGAAAGTGGACGGTGTGCACACGCACACCGTGGAGATGCAGAAGCTATAGAAATTATAGTAGAAAGTAATTAAACTGATTGGAATTCTAGAGAGTATTTCACATTCTTTGTCATATTAAAGCAAAATAATTTGCACTATAATTTAAATTTTAATGATATTTTCACCAGATTCTGTGTGCTTCCAGAGCTTATTTGTTATACTTGTCCCTTTTTATTAGAAGTAGGTCCAGAGTAACATGAGACCATTTAAGTTCAGCAAACTCAGTTTGTTGTAAATTCTACTCCATTAAAGTGGATTTTTGTGTTCCTTCTGTCTGTGTTCTCTGTGCTGGTGCACTGTGTCCAACCATCCTTCCTTCAATATTTAATTTTAGGGGAAATCTATTTTTACAGAGTTAGTTTGTATGAATAACTGCAGACTACTGCATAATCTGCAGTCCATTAAAAAATTAGATTGAGGGCTAAATTGCGTTATGCTCTTGATCTTTATACTGGGTTATATTCTAATCCCAATTAAAGGGATTTTATTGATATGTTGGATGGGGGTTAAACTCTAAATGGCACGTGTGACATTGAAGCTACTTTAAGGAAGTGTCTTGCTCACCTGGTCAAACACCCATTCCTCACTGCATTTTGCCAATTCAATCCATTTTAGATGTAACCTCGGGTATGGTGAAAGACCCACCGGACGTCTTGGACAGGCAAAAATGCCTTGACGCTCTGGCTGCTCTACGCCACGCTAAGTGGTTCCAGGTTCGGAACATCATTTTACTTTCTTCTTGTAGCCTTATGAGAGATTAGTTCAGTTGCAATATAAATGTTTAACTGTGAAAACACTCAAGGTTGCCCATGGTAATAATACTTTAAATTAAATGAACAGAAAAATGTTATCATAGAAAGCTCAGTATGGAAGAACTGCTTTATGCAGTTATTGCTGATCTGACATAAACTCTTTTTCTGATCATTGAGAAGGCGATGTTGAAAGCTTGACTCGCTTTGGGTGATCATATGCTGTGTGTATTTGTAATATATTCCATAAGGCTGCAGAGTAACTTTGCTTTAAATAATGGAATATGTGTTTAAAGCTTTGTGTTTAGATTTAAGACTTTTTTTTCCCTATTTCTTGAAGTGCATTAAGTGTAGGGAATGAAAGGTGAGAAATAACTGTTTGGTTTAGTGACTTTGCACTCTGGCAAAGGCACAACAAAGAAACCAAACAGATTCCCTTGACCTTTCAGTCTCTATACATACTTTTTAGATCTTTATTCTTTTTATTTCTAATATAGAAAGATATTATATGTATTGTTACAGATGAATATAGGTCAAAGTGTACAGGGGATCAAGAAATATTACTCTTGTATAACCTGTGCACTTTGACTTCTACCACCTTAAGTTTACTAACCCTGGCACAAAATACTGCTGTAAATGGCAGCTCATGAACACAGTTTTAGAGTGACTTGTTTCTATTGTATATCTGAGCTTCCATTGAACAGTGGTGTTTTAGCTTTTCAACCTGTGGCCTGTTTTCTGTAGGTGCTGGGATTAATTAACTTGATTTTGTATTGCTCTCAAGGCTAGAGCTAATGGTCTGCAGTCCTGTGTGATTATCATACGTATTCTTCGTGACCTCTGTCAGAGAGTTCCAACTTGGTCTGACTTCCCAAGCTGGGTGAGTAATCTTCTTTTGCATGCACTTTAAGGCAGCAGCATGTTGCTACAAGTTCAGTGTCAGAAAATGCTGGTGCAACTTTTTTTTAAATAAAGCCATATGTCAAGAATCAGTTTTTTGGTTGTTGTTTTTTTTTCCCCCTCAGCAGACAATTTCTTTTAAATCTTTAAAAAGAACCCAGACTTCTGGTATCCTGTGATTTCTGAAGCTAGATCTTTACCAAAGAAATTATTTTCTCCTACAGAACAAAAATACCACCAAAGAATTCAGTACTTCTTTTTTCTCTTCTTCTAAGAGTTTGTATAGAAGTTAGGAATGATTATTTTTCATCTCAGTTTACTCTGAATTGCTTGGCCTTTCCTGAGACTTGTTTGAAATAATTTGTCAAATGTATCTGGATAACCATTGCAGAACAAACTTTGTGTAAAAGTTACTTGCTAAGGACCCCTTCTGTTACCATTCTCCTTAATATCTGTTGCTGCTGCCAGATATGGTACCAGAGTACTGATATATGATGATCCATCTTTGACAGGGAGAGTGTTGGAAATAGTCCAAACCACTTTATTGTTAGTTTCTGTTTGGACCAGAAGTGAGTTCTAAGATAGAAGGAGGGCTATAAAAGAATTTACCAAGTCACTTCTGCTTAACTGAAAATAGTGTATAAGAGTTAAATGTTTTCATTAAGGCTTATTTGGCTTTAAAATAATATTTGAGCAAACTAAACATAGCACCAGATTCTGTGCTGCATCTCTTGAAAAGCCAGCACATACAGCATAGCTCAAGGGGAGAGAGGGCAAAGGTGCCCTCCATAAACCACCAGCATTCCAGACTGCTGAGAGGCTGGTACAGTCCCCAGTAGAAGTTGAGAGCCTTGGAGGCTGCTCTGACTTAAGACTGTTTTCCTCGGGCTGCCCTCTGGGCTGCGGTGTCACCATAGTGATGGGTACTATGACTGTGCCCCCGAAACACACCCCTTAAACTGGAACTTGCGTGTGCCACTTGTGTTGGCCCTATGTGCCTGCTGCATCTGTGTGCGATATAGGAGCCCGAGCAGGCATAGAATCAGCTTCATAGTTTCTTTAGTCCTCAACTTAAAGTTACAAATTTCTGCAGAAAGAAAAGGTATTGAGTTTCATTATTTATGGTTCAAACTCCCTCTTCTAGGAAAATAAAAGTGAGGCTTTAACTATTTAAAATGGAGTGATGAGCCAGAGGGAGAAGGAAGCTTACTACTACGCTCTTCATTAATACACACTTCCTAGCGGCCCCGAGGAATTTAGATACAAGTTCTCTTTCTACAGAAGAAGTTATATAATGCATTGCTTACAGGAAAAAAATACTACATCAAAACATTTTAGGTTGCAAAACATCAAACACTCAAAAATTAGGTTTCAGAGTGGTAGCCGTGTTAGTCTGTATCAGCAAAAAGAACAAGGAGTACTTGTGGCACCTTAGAGACTAACAAATTTATTTGGGCATAAGCTTTCGTGAGCTAAAACCCACTTCATCGGATGCATGCAGTGGAAAATACAGTAGGAAGATGTGTATATATACACAGAGAACATGGAAAAAATGGGTGTTTTTGTTGTGGTGTGTGTGTTGCTGGTGAGTATTTGCTTCAGGTTGGGGGGCTGTCTGTAAGCAAGGACTTGCCTGTCTCCCAAGATCCGTGAGAGTGAGGGATCGCTTACAGACAGCCCCCCAACCTGAAGCAAATACTCGCCAGCAACCACACACTAATCCAGGAACCTATCCTTGCAACAAAGCCCGTTGCCAACTCTGTCCACATATCTATTCAAGGGACACCATCATAGGACCTAATCACATCAGCCCACCCTCAGAGGCTTGTTCACCTGCGCATCTACCAATGTGATATGTGCCAGCAGTGCCCCTCTGCCATGTACATTGGCCACACCGGACAGTCTCTACGCAAAAGAATAAATGGACACAAATCAGATGTCAAGAATTATAACATTCAAAAACCAGTCGGAGAACACTTCAACCTTCCTGGTCACTCAATTACAGACCTAAAAGTCGCAGTTCTTCAACAAAAAAACTTCAAAAACAGACTCCAACGAGAAACTGCCGAACTGGAATTAATTTGCAAACTGGACACCATTAAATTAGGCTTGAATAAAGACTGGAAGTGGATGGGTCATTACACAAAGTAAAAACTATTTCCCCATGCTAATTTTTCCCCTACCGTTACTCACACCTTCTTATCAACTGTTTGAAATGGGCCATCCTGATTATCACTACAAAAGTTTTTTTTTCTCCTGCTGATAATAGTCCACCTTAATTGATTAGTCTCGATAGAGTTGGTATGCAACACCAATTTTTTCAGTGTGTGTGTGTGTGTGTGTGTGTGTGTGTGTGTGTGTGTGTCTTCCTACTCTTATTTCCACTGCATGCATCCGATGAAGTGAGTTTTAGCGCACGAAAACTTATGCCCAAATAAGTTTGTTAGCCTCTAAAGTGCCACAAGTACTCCTCGTTCTTTTTTCAAAAATTAGGAAATGCCAGAATTTAGATTACTTACGCATTGCAAATTCTACCCCATTGCATTATGATGCATTATTTATTGAATGATCATACACTGTTTTTTTTTTCCCTCGTTATTCCTACCTGATTTGGTTCATAGGATGGACAGTGCTCAGAGAATGAGGCAGCTGTTTGATATTTTTGTACTCCCCGTTCAGTTAGTGGCCCTCCCTCCCTTATTTACCAGATACCATCCAAAGCCTCCAATGAATTCAGAATTATTTATTTCCTCATAGTCTTTTCTAGGGCACTCATCACCTTAGTAGGTGAGTGCCTCACAAACATTAATGAATTTTTCTATACTGCAAGATGGGAGGCATCCATTTTACAGATAGGGAAACTGAGACACAAAGATTTGTCTGAGGCCACATAGTGAATCAGTGGCAAACCTAGGATTTGAACACACACTCCTGATTCCCAACCCTGTCCTCATTCTTTCAGACCATACTGTCTTATTGCTAGAGCTGCTGAATATTCACAGCTCCCATTGACTTCTGTTGTAGCTGTGAGTGCTCTGCATATCAGGCCCCAGGTATCTCAAGTTGAGCAGAGCAGGAATGAGGAATACACAGTTAGTAGCAAAATGTTGGTTTAAATAATGTGTTCAGCATTATATTGAAAGACTGTGGCAGAAGCAGGGATAGAATTGAATTCTCCTGTATGTCATTCACCTGCCTTAACCACAAGATCATCCTTTCTCTTCTTGCAGTCCCCTGCCTTGGTTTCTACACACTATCCAACTGCTAGAACAAATGAAGCAGGGATCTTACAGACTAATTCATTACTTGACTGTGATTCATTCCCTGCTTGCTGTGCATCTTGTGCACTGAATGAAGCTGGGATTCTCTGGAAAACAGTCTTTAATTACCTGATCACATACTATGCGAATGAATGTAAACAAAGCTGCAGAATTACGGCTGCACAGGCAACCCAAATGCCTTATTTTCTAATGCTCAACTTAAATAACAGGGGTAGCCATGTTAGTCTGGATCTGTAAAAAGCGACAGAGTCCTGTGGCACCTTATAGACTAACAGACGTATTGGAGCATAAGCTTTTGTGGGTGAATACCCACTTCGTCAGATGCATGGTCTGGAAATTTTCACTACATGCATCTGACAAAGTGGGTATTCACCCAAGAAACCTTATGCTCCAATACGTCTGTTAGTCTATAAGGTGCCACAGGACTCTGTGTCGCTTCTTAGTAAAATAAATAATCCTCTTTTAATGGGTTTCTTTTAATGGGTGGAGATTTTGTTTGCCGGGGCGGGGGGGCAGGGGGAGGGAGGTTATGGGATTTCCTAGCCTTTTTAAAAGAAAAAAAGGTAAATTATTTTATGTGCAGTTGTATCATCCCCACTATCATGCATCACCTGGTGTAGGGTTTGAATGCTAAACCTTCAGTTGTTCCACACAGCTTGACCCACAGGGCTAACTATTTGAGCGTAGGAAATTATCCCTCAGGATGGAAGGGGTTGATCAAGGAAAGGCTGGCCCAGTGCGCACACGCTTATTCTCCCTTTCTCTTCTCTCACCCTCCCTTCTCAGTACAGGAAGGGGAGGGGGAACCAGGCTCAGATTGTGCTCTCTCCACCCCCATCCCATTCCCTACCCAATCTCCCTGAAGAGTGTGTCCACTCCTGGGATTTCCAGTGCAGTCTGTATTACTGGTGCTGCTTTGGCAGTGATGTGGGCCAGACTTGGATTAGAATGTTCGTGTTCAGGGGACTGTTTTGGCATGCTGCTAACAGATGTGACAGAAGGGAAATTGTGATTTTTTTTTTCATTTATATCTCAGCTAAGCCTGAACAGAATTGCTTGGGTCAAAGAAAAGGTACTTTTCTAACCCTAGGATGTTCTCCCTGCTGAATTTCAAAGGCCAACTGCAAACAATGGAGGTGTTAGAGCATCTCAAAAAAGGTCATAAGAATCTTTTAATGGGAAGTGTTAGACAACCTAAATATAGGGGTTATTGCTCTTGGGCTAATTTTGTATCACTATTCAGCTGTCTAAAAATCTGTTAGTCTAACTTTTCCTTACATTTCAACTGGACACAATATTCTTTGTGTAACTCCTTATTAAGCTGTGTATACCAGAAGATCTGAGTTGAATTGTGATGGTTTCTTTTTTTAAAGCAGCCTAATAAAATAGTCTTTTTTCTATTCTTGATTTTAGGCTATGGAGTTACTAGTAGAGAAAGCGATCAGCAGTGCTTCTGGACCACAAAGCCCTGGGGATGCATTGAGGAGAGTTTTTGAGTGTATATCTTCAGGAATAATCCTTAAAGGCAGGTTGCACTTGTTTGATACAAATTTTAGATTTTGTCAAGGGTATTTATAAGCTCAGCTAAAATGTATATTATAGTTGCTATATATAATCAGTATATGTGGACTCTAGTAATGGTAACTAGCCGTATTGTTATAGGTGGTCCTGGCCTTTTGGATCCTTGTGAAAAAGATCCTTATGATACACTTGCTTTAATGACAGACCAGCAACGAGAGGATATTACTTCGAGTGCACAGGTAATGAACATTATAATAAAATAGCCAAGTGTGGTGGTGGTGGTGGTGGTGGTATGCTGAAATATTGAAGATCGTTCTCCTTCAATAGTAAAACTGGGGCGGGGGGGAAAGAATTGACTAATGTAACAAAAGTTTGAATAAATGCACAGATATATGCTCAGTTTAAGGGCTGAGTACTCAGGTGTTCTCACATAATGCTCAGTGTACCTATTAGAAACAGGCAATAAATCCTGAGGGCACTTACACTGGGAATCAAACTAGCTCCTAAATAAGGATAGCCTTTATGATGGCTTTATGCCCGACAAGGGTTCCCTTGTAGAGGAAGTATTCCAACTGTACATTTGGTGCAGTTTTAAGTCAGCTTTATGGCACAAAGGGTACTTTGTCATAAACTAAGATGTGGACCTAAGATTAGCTGTTGCTACTGCCAAGATTAGGAAAAGGATTACTGCAGTTCCATCCTTTTGTACTTGCAAAGATGTTCACGCTTGTCTGTATCTTATCAGTCTAAATGACTGTACCTGTTTAAACTTAAAACTATATTGGATTGAAAAGGATTACTGTAGATAAATTTGCATAAGCTTTGATTATTTTTTTAAATGTGGTTTATGAAGAAAATGTTAACTGCCTCCACTGTCATATTTAGATTTAACATTTGTTTCTGATAAAAGGTTTTTGTTTTGTTTTCCCCTTCCCCCCTCTGTTACCAGTTTGCACTGAGACTCCTTGCATTCCGTCAAATACACAAAGTTCTAGGAATGGATCCATTGCCACAGATGAACCAACGTTTCAACATTCATAACAATCGTAAAAGGAGAAGAGACAGTGATGGGGTCGATGGGTTTGAAGCAGAGGGGAAAAAAGATAAAAAAGATTACGATAACTTTTAAAAATGTCTGTCATCAGTGTTAAGACAGGAAGTGATAATAGGAGTCCATTTGTTGCCTGACTCTTTTTTATTCATAATAATGTCTGTTTTAAAACATCCAAAAAACAGATGGAAGATCAGTTTTGCAGAAAGAGGACTTAACTCTTCTGTGAAGGTCTAAATTTTTAATGGATGTGCAGTATCAGACAAATTATGGATGTAAAGATACCACAAATGGAAATTGTGCTCTGATTTAAAAAAATATTAGCTTTCCCCCCATTATTTTTTTTTATTTAGACATAGGTTACTAACTGTAGTAACTTCCCTATTTTTTTGTCCTTTTTATTAACTAGTCACTAGTGCATTGTCTTAAATCCTGACTCTATTTAATGCAGCATTTGTGCTTCAGTAGCTATGAGTATTTTGATATTTTATTTAGAAGTTTTGTTTGCCTTTGACACTAGTTGTATAAGTTACTCTGTGTTATAGATGGTATATAGTTTCCCTCCCACTTAATATTTTACAGCAGAACTTTTTTTTGTAAAGTGAGACTGCAGGATTTCGGTTTTTTTCCTAAATGTGAAGGGTTACAACACACAATTATCCTGCCGTTTGAGTGCTCAGAATTAAATGTTTCTGCCAATCTTGTGGCATTTTGTCTCTTTAGTGTGATATAACGGTGTAATTAAGACAGATTTGTGTTAATCTAATCAAGTTTGCTGTTAGTTGTGCATTAGCAGTATAAAAGCTAATATATACAGTATGGTCTTGCAACAGTTTTAAAGCAGCTGCATAATTGATCAAAAATGCATGACATTTTTGTTTTAATAGAAGGGCTTTTAAAACTATCATTTTAGGTTTAATGCATAGGTCTTTGTATGACTGACTTTGTGACATAGCAAGGCCAAAAAAATAACTTTCTGAATTTTTTTTTTCTTAAGATGCTAGTAAAAGAGGGCATTTTCCCATTTGGACAAAGTTGGCAGTTGTTTTCAAACAGCTTTGTCAATGTGATACTAATGCCATTTCATTAGCCCTTAAAATAGATGTTTGCCATATCAGTGCCTGTGAGGTAACTCCTAGTAGCTATTCCTGTATAGCTATTTTTCTGTGATTTTTTTTTTCAGTAATTTGAAAACTAAAACTAAAGTGGATAAAGTATTGCTGACAAAGTGAAGGTTATCAAAGAAAAAACCCAGAAAATTATTTGGTGTGGCTATAGTGTATGCTTATGTCTTCTTCAAAAGCTAAATATTATAGCAATGGTGTAAGTAAAATTACATCATACTGTTGATGTATGCTCCAGTACACAGATGTGATTTGTTGTCACAGCACTACAGTGGGATACGCAACAGTGAAATACGCAAATAAAAACTAAAGTTTATTAAATGACTTTAACGTTCATTATACACTGGAAACTGAAGTTTCACTCTTTCTGTTTGGTGTGCACTATGCTTAGCTGAAGACCTGAAAAAATATGTGGGTTTAATATTGACTATGATAACATTCCTATAACTGTTTTACAAATGACTGTAGGAAAATGTCAGATATTGCAAAGAACACTGGTTTTCTTGATTTAAAATTACTTCAAAGCCTTTTGATCCAATTCATCAGGTCGAACTTATCTTTGACCTTTTAAGTGATTAATTATTTTGCTTGTCCTTCAAAATATACTGGAGAAATTCCGAAAACATTTTAACACAATGGTCCTGTGGAATGTAAATACAATATTAATATAGGAGAGGGGTCTTGCATAAGTTTAAATATACAGTATCCTGTGAGCATCAAACACTGCGACTTAAAAAAATTAATACAAAGATATTAGTGGTCAGCAAACAAAATAATGGAAAGCTTTCCCAGTACAGAAAAAGATTCCTTAAAAATAATTTCATATGGGAAATAGAGTAACTAGCATGTGCTCAAAAATTATTTTTAACAAAAGAGGATTGCACTAACTTCCTTTGTGCTACCTTGGCACTCAGTTCAGCAGTACGCAGTTGCCCAAGATCCTTCCTTTAAAAAGGAAGAAGTTTTGTTGCCATGGTGTCCAATCAGTCATTGCCGTTTATTATTTTGGAAGTTGCTTCATGTCTTATATTTCAGTTGCTGTTCATTTGGCCATTTTAACTCCCTACGGTAGTTTCCTACCCAAATGAGAGATGCTGTCAGTTTAGTCATGTGACCCTATTCTTTAGGATGAAAAGGTCAAAGATAAGTTTTGGATTTCCTGCATTTTTGTTTCACTGACTTATACCTCTTAACCAGTTTCTGGATGTTTGAAATATTGTATACTTGAAGTGATTCCCCATTAAACATGAAACTGTGACCATGATTTTTGATTTTTGTAGTAAAGAGTGGATTTGCAGTTTTGTTTTTCCTATCCATTATCTATGGATTATTTTAACTTGACAAAAATTACTGGCTTGTGCAGAATTAAGAGAAGGAAAAATCAGACAATTTGAGTTTTTTATTTTTAACAAGCTTGTAGAATACTTTTGCATTAAACTGTTTAATCTACTAAATCTTTTTTATATGCATGCATTTACAAAAAACACCTAAAACTGGTTTGCAAACACACAAATAATACAGAAACTCAGCATTTGACTATCCAATGTAATAATCATTGTTAAACTGAATAATATTGATGATATATTGATATAACTACTTAGCAATATTTACCTTCTTTGAGTAGTTTCCCTATAGTTGCTCCATTTCAGGGGTGCATGCACCCTTCCACCATTGATTATTCTGATGTATTTCAGCATCCCTGGGTTTTAAGAGGTATGGGAGGCTATCCCAGTAAGTGATGGGCGTCCTTGGTGCTCCTTTGTTTGGGAGATAACCACAGCCCCAGTAAGTGCAAGATTTGCTCATCTTTCAAGGTCAGATCTCAAAGGAACAGAAAAGTCAAATTTAGACTTTTAATGGTGGAGCAAGCATTAAGATCAGCTTCTGACCCATGTACCAAGGACCTCCCTGTACACAGAGCTTCCAGTACCACTAGTGCTTCATCTATCTCAAGACAACACTCACTGAGCATCTCTGGAGATTCAAGTATGTAAGTGTCATCCTCAACCTCTGGGCGTGTCTCACCGAAAGCCTCAGGAGAGAGAGCTTCTGTGACAGTACCTTCAGGTTAGAGAGCTGTATTATTGAAGCCTTTGACCACCAATAAAAAGGGTAGGAGCACCTGTTCTACTATGAAATGTTGATCACCATCCGCAAGAAGGTTCCCGGAGACCTCAGGTCCCAAAAGGTCCCTGAGGATTTGAATGGCTCTGCTACCATGAAGGTTTCTAAAGCATATTCTAAGAGCAATACCTTGCAACAGGATTCAGTACTGAGGACCTCTTCAACTATAGATAACCGAACCTAGGCTAGTAGCTGTGTCGTCAGACTCAGTTATCCTTTCGGTAGCTATACCATCATCATGTATTGCATTGGTACCAATGGTATTTGACCTGATCTTTCTCTTATCAGGGTTCTCTGTACCATCAATACCGAAACTGGCCTCCAAAGGAAATCATCAAATTCCCACTGATATACCATCGGTATTGCAGGAGTTTAGATACTCTAAAGACCTCCTGGTCTCCACTGAGCCAAAATCTGTTACTTACCGGTACCAGTCATCTTGTGGTACTGCAGTCTGCTAGGTCACCAGCTCCACATTTGTCATTGAGGCAGTCTTACTGACTTCAACCATACAGGGCGAATAGTTATCACCTCCCCTGGGATATGTTGAGGAGAGCTCCTCTGACTCACAAATTTTAGTATAGGGTTCTTCTGTATATTCTAGGAGGCATAATTAACCCACATGTACTGATACTATGGAGGATACCAGACCTCAGCTTCCACCCCCTTGGTATGATCAGTAGAGGCTGCTCCTGCTATGCCCTAGTTGGGATCCTTGGCCCATTTACCGACAACAATTTAGGTCAGCATCTACCCACTTGGAGCATAGATAGGGACATTCTTCTCAACTAGAGAAGGAGACTTTTGAGGTGCAGGAAGCAAGGGCTGACAAAGAGGTGACACTAATATTTCATCACCATCTGATGAAGTTGTCATGCCTTAACCTCCTTCCATGGCAGATCAACTTAGGATGTTTCAAGAGCTGATGAAACGTATTGCCTATATGCTTCAAATTCCATTACAGGAAGTCCAGGATTCCCATCATAAACTCCTGGACATTTTACACACCTCTGCCTCTATACAGGTAGTCATCCCCGTCAATGAAGCTTTGCTGGAGCCTGCTATAAACCATCTGACAGACTCCATCAACTTGCAAGCATGCAGATAAAAAGTACTACATCCCAGCAGGGATTCCAAGTTCTTATTTTCTTACCCTATACTGAATCTTCCAGGGGCAAGCCAACCCTACTTTCTTCTACAAGGTCATCTCTGGCACCAGTCCCTATACTCTTGGCGTCAAACGGCAGAAGTGAGGGGTACCGCTCCCATGTGGTCATCATCGGAGAACTCTTCATCGGAGTCTGAGGTGGAGCCCTACACCCATCCCAAGGGCCACCATCAGTACCCATCCTACATACCACCAGACCCCTGTGTGGGTCCCCTCTGCCAGTACCTAGCCAGTGGCCTATGCAGTGGCTGATCTGGAAACCATGGGGGGTTCCCCAGGTACTGGGTCTGTCATCCCACCAATCATACTTGGTTACTTCCGAGAGGTGGGCCCCTACACCACTCTGCTCTGCACTGGAACCTGATTCCGGTACCAAACCCAGTACCGATACACAGGCTGTGGGCCCCACGGTGATGATTGAGACTGACGAAGAGGAAGAAGCTCATTCTCCAGTACAGACCTCTTCCTCCTTCCCGTTTGAGGCTGTCTCGGGACCGAGTGACTTGCTGCTGGAAGATGACTCTAGAGCCCATCAGGAGCTTCTAAACAGGATTGCGACTAACCTGGGTCTAGAGGTTGAGGAGCTCCAGGAATCATCCCACAGTCTCACGGACATTCTGGCTGCAGCAGCTCCATCTACGGTGGGCTTTACCCATTAACGAAGCTGTAATTGGTCCAGTCAGTGCCCTGTGACAGACTCCATCTTCTCTCCTTCCCACTTGGAAGAGGGCTGAAAATAAATGTGTACCAGCCAAAAGGTATGAGTACTTGTACTTGCATCCTCCTGGGTCCCTAGTTGTAGTGGCGGCCCATGAGAGGGATAGACAGGGCCAAACAAAACAATGCAAAGAAACTGGATCTGTTTGTTAGAAAAATTTATTCGACGGGTGGACTACAACTGCATA